GAAAAACCCGTGAAAAAGTCCTTATTCCTGCGGCCTATAACTGAGGAGGAAATGATCAAAGCAATTAATATGTTAAAAAAATCAGATTCAAACACAGGCGATTTCATTTCTAACTCTTTCATAAAACTACATTACAAAACTCTTATTAAACCATTGGTACATATATGCAATCTTGTGTTTGGTCAAGGAGTGTTTCCGGACATATTGATATTATAACTCCTTTGCACAAGGGAGGAGATCGTAGAGATGTTAATAATAATAGCAATCATTAATTCTATAAGTAAAGTCATTGAAACAAACATTTAAAACAGGATGTGGGACTTTCTCGATAAAAACAAAGTAATTTCACCAAACCAATTTGGTTTTAGGGCGGGTTGTGGCACGGAGGATGCTTTATTTAAGTTACAAGATTGTATTTTTGAGAACTTTAACCAAAATAAAAAAAACTCTATCAATATTTTTAGACTTAACAAAGGCTTTTGATACTGTGGCACATCATACTAAACTTTTCTAGAACCCAGAGATCTATCAGATATATCTACCCCAAAGTGCTTAATATATTGCTCCTTAAATTTAGACAAAGTCGATCAAGAGAATTTAAATATTGGAGTAAGGAGAAAATAAGTGAATGGCTGAGAACACACTATGAGAGAATAGATGAAATATTAGTCTTGCTATTGTAATAATAAAAATATATATATATATATATATATATTATAATAACAATAATACACTTAATAATAATAATTAGAGGAAAAAAAACCTGTGTGTTTCTGATAAAAGGGAGAAAAAAGGGAAAAGGGAAAAGGGAAAAGGGAAAAGGGAAAAGGAAAAAGGGAAAAGGGAAAAGGGAAAAAAAAACAAAAAACATCAAAATAGCATTGTACTTGCACACTGACTGAAACTAAGATATTTTGTATATTGAAATTATTTAGATTTATATGTACAGGGTATTTGATTATATTTGGCACCATACCTACAGCCTTTACTATTTAAGATAGAAAAAAAATTTTAATACAAAACTTGACAGTTTTTTTCTGTATTTTCTGATAACGTTATCAGAAAAAACAAAATCGCATCGGAAAATGGAGAAACGTAAGCAACTTTGACTTTTTTAATGGACCACCCTGTATATTATGCGATAAAATGAAAGATCTATTCTTTCTGATTCCAAATCAGCAGCGCCGACTTTTGAAAGTCCTCATGGGTGCACGATAATAATAAATTACTATATAAATTTGTTTATAGGGGGAAGGGGTGGGAGAAATTTTTTTTCCGGATGCCACGCCACGCCCAAAAACGTCTATTTTATAGTGTTTCCGTTTGCTAAATTTGGGCAGCACTAGAGCAACCCTCGCCCAATTTTTGTATTCGATTTTATCCCCCCGTATGTCTGGATAGGTAGTATGAATTTTGAACAAACATTTAATAATGTATTTATTTTTATTTATACAGGGTGTCCCCGTTCAACGGGTCAAAAATGCTAGGGTATATAGAGGAACCATAGAGAACTGATAGGACACCGATAGTCGAAATTGCGCTGTTTCCAAAATACAGGTTATTGAAATTTAAACAACCCCCTTTCATATCATCTGAAGGGCTAATGCTAGGCTATTCAAATTTCTAGGGATTATTGGAACCACCAAAAAAAAATACGGTGTCCTATCTCAAATTAGTTCTCCATGGTTCCTCTATATACCCTAGCATTTTCGACCAGTTGAACGGGGACACCCTGTATAAACACAGTATCCCATTTTGATTGTACAGGGTATTTAATTAAATTTGGACCCATACCTACAGCCTTTACTGTTAAAGTTAGAAAAAAAAATTAAATACAAAACTAGACAGTTTTTTTCTATATTTTCTTTGAACGGTATCAGAAAAAACAAAATCGCATCGGAAAATGGAGAAACGTAGACAGCTTCAACTTTTTTTAATGGAACACCCTGTATATTTTGCGATAAAATGAAAGATCCTTTCTTCCTGATTCCAATATTCCAAATATATATTTATTGGTCACATTTGAGTGAACCGTTTTTGACATATTTTAGCTTAAATTATAAATAATTTGCAAAGAAATTTCAAAGAATGTCAAGAAATTTAAATCTTTATAAAATTTCTTTGAATTTTATTTATAATATAAGCTAAGATATATCAAAATCGGCTCACCCAAATCCAAATGTAATCAATACATATATATTTGGAATCAGGAAGAGAAGATCTTTCATTTGATCGCATAATATACAGGGTGTCCCATTAAAAAAAGTCGAAGTTGCCTATGTTTCTCCATTTTTATATGCGATTTTGTTTTTTTTCTGATACCGTTAAAAGAAAAGATAGGAAAAAACTGTCAAGTTTTGTATTTAATTTTTTTTCTTCTTTTATTTCTATCTCAAATAGTAAAGGCTGTAGGTATGGGTCAAAATATAATCAAATACGCTGTACATACATAAGGGACACCTGAGTTGCTATTGGAGTTAGAAGGATACGGTTTTCGCAAACGTTGGCTACATCGCCCTTTCCGTTTTTTATATACAAGGTGTTTATGAAAAAGTTGCATTTTGAGACACCTCTGGTATCTCGGTTCTCTCATAAGTGATCGAAAAGGGGACAACGAGTTCTTATAGATCTTTCTACATAGATTCCAGTGGCGAAGTCAGTTTTTCTCTAGAAGTGACAGTTTTTGAATAGTGAACCAAACATACGTTTTTTTCAAATGAGACACCCTAAAGTTCGATAGGTATATCTATACATCCTGTTTGTTTTTGTTATAAGGAACAAAGTTTCAGAAAAGGACTTTGCACCTTAAGGAAAATGAGAATGTGAAACACTGCAACACTGCTTCTCATGACAAAAGCAGATAAAAAAATTTTGCTCGAAAACTGTCAAAGATAAAGCTATCGAATTTTATATCATTGAAATCAGCAAAAGCAAAGCTATTCAATGAGTTTATAATATGTAGGGCGTCTCATTTGAAATAATTTATGTTTGGGTTCATAATTTAAAAACTATCGCTTCTAGAGAAAAACTGATAACGCTTCTGGAATCTACGTAAAAATATCTATAGGAACCCGTTGTCACGTTTTCGATCACTTATGAGAGAGCCGAGATACAAAGGGTGTCCCGGAATGTAACATTTTCAAAAGCACCTTGTATATGGAGAACGAAAAGGGCGAGGACAATTTTGTTGACGACATCTTACGTTTGACAGAAAAGAAGTTAACGTTCCCAAAAACCCGAGCGAAAACCGCATCCATCTAACTCCAATAGAAACTGAGATATCCCTTATGTACAACCAAAATGGGACACACTGTACACCCGAAAAAATAGGTACAAGTAGATGAAAAACAAAATCGAAAAGTAAGTAAGAAGTAAGCCAACTACCAAGTACTTATAGCTGAACCACCTTTGGAATCACCATTAAACACTTGTACTTCCGCAATCCCCACGAGAGCTCTCATGGGTGCTCCGCACCCATGAGAGGTTGCTCATGGGTGCACCTGCCCCGATGCCCCCATGTAGTCGGCGCCAGTGTTCCAAATATATATATATATATATTGATAATATTTGCTTGAGCAATTTTTGACATATCTCAGGTTAAATTATAAAGAATTTGCAGAAAAGTTCCATAAGGATCTCTATCTTTATAAAATTTCTTTGCAATTTAGTTATAATTTAAGCTGAGATATGTCAAAAATGGCTCATGCAAATGTGATCAACATATATATATATTTGTAATCAGGAAGAAAAGGTATTTCATTTTATCGCAAAATATACAGGGTGTTCCATTTAAAAAAGTGGAAGTTGCTTACGTTTCTCCATTTTCCGATGCGATTTTTTTTTTCTGATAACGTTAAAAGAAAATATAGAAAAAAACTGTCAAGTTTTGTATTTACAATTCTTTTCTATCTTAAATAGTAAAGGCTGTAGGTATGATGCCAAATGCAAATACCCTGTACACACACAAACCAAAAGGTTAATCGTGTACAAAAGGAATAGTCTTAATTTCGTATTTTTTTTTTTTTTGGAAATAAATGAAAAAAAATGAAATTAAAGAACAAAAAGAAATTCGACATTATGCCGACGAAATAAGGGCACGACTTCTCGGTATCCATGATTTTGCTAGGGAGCATATTCAGCTGTCCAGTGACCTAATGAAGACCAGTTATATGACTTGAAAGCTAATTCAGTCGGATTTCAAGAATGTGATTTGGTGTGGCTGTATAGTCCAACATGGAAGAAAGGAGTGTAGCCGAAATTGTCTTCAGCATGGGAAGGATCAAAATTTTGATTAGAAAAATGTTTCAGTCGGTGATGTGAGCCCTTCTTGACTCTTGATTTCTTCTGTGCAAAAGTTTCCTAGTAATGATTAAAACTTTCAGCAGATAAGCGGGTGATAATCATATGTAAATTGAAAATCATCGTCCAATGATCAAAGTTTTAAGAAAAGTCGCATATTCACCTACCTTTGATTCAAAAATACATCAAATCAAATGAATTTATTGGGAAAAATCTAATAAACAAATTAGAAACTGATTAATTTTAACCATTCAATCGATATAAAACCGTAACTATTTCACGAACACATCGGCTTGTGCCAATTTATCAATAACGTTTGTTCGAAAAAAATACTGTTTTCTCTGGTAGCTTTATTATTCAATTTTTAATTTAACGCAAACGAATTTTGTTACCAAATCATTTATATTTACACACCATAGTAAAATTAGGGGAACGGACAAAATTTACACTAAATTTCATAGTACAAAGAAGTTATATATTCTACTATACCTAAATAAAAGAATTCTGGAAAATTGCCACATACCTATATAAATCGTTCGCGGAATTTGAAATTAGGCTGATTGAAATAGTGCCTGATATCGATTTTCGCTTATACAAATGCAATTTTCCAGATACTCCTTTTTCGTATTCCGGATGAAATCTAGTTTATAAGGAAAAGTGAGCTATTTGATGTAAATGGTAATCGGTGTATAGATAGTTACCTATGACGTCGCTTCTTTTTCTTCTTTTTACTAAAGTTGCCTAAACCGTCTTGCACTGAAAAGTCTTTGGAATTATCTAATTGGCCTGGAAAAAAAAGAAAACAAAATTTAGTTTATATTATGAAGCTATATAGAGTGGTCATACTTAAAAAAATATATAAGTGTATACAGGGTGTCTGCATATACAACCGACAACGCGTGACAATAGTTATTTAAAATAGTTCTCATGTTGTATGAAAGTTCGGTGACTTCTAGATTAGAGTAATCATCCTGCTTGGATTTTTTACAGAAATCTTTTAAATAAATAAGAATGAGAAGAAGGAAGATGAATAGCTAAGAATTATATGGAAGTTTGGGTAAAACCACAGAAAACTTTCGGAAATTATAACATACTCAATTTTCATTCACAATTTCTTCCCAATTCATAGCTCGTTTAACAAACTCCATTGTATCGCAGAAGTTAAAAATTCTAACCCGTGGTCATTAAAATTATTCGGCAAGCACCAACTTCCGAGCCTGCCGAAATTCAGAAAACGTTAATGCAGCCGTACAAAAAAATTATGTACGACTTATAATAGGCATTTTATTCCGCAAGTGTGCACACTTCAGCAACAGCGTCTTTTGTATTGCCCAGGACGAACATAATGGCAGGATGTTCCATTATAATTTTCACCTTATAACACGCGATAATTTTTTCGTAATTATTTTATTTTTAAAAAAATCGTGTGAATTGGGTTTTATCAACCAAATTGTTGTGCGAGGTGTATGAGGTTTTTTGATTGGATAATTGGTTACTTACTTAGACTGAGAATTGCAACGCATTTGTGATAATTGTAAGAAAACTTTGTAAATGAATAAGTAAAAAATTGTAATTTTTATCTATTCTTTGGGTTTTATGTAAATGTGTGTCAAAAATCTTTCAAGTCTAAGATTCAAACTCTTTGGAATCTTTAAAGTATTTAGTATTTAGCGTATTGTTTCTAACAAGATAGTACTTTTAATCAAGAGCCTTTTAAATTTTCCCTAAATTCTCTGAAGTCTTTAGAGATTTTGGAATCTTCGAAGTTCCAGTTTTCAGCCTTTTTAAAATCTATAGTCTTGTAATTTTTATTTGTTCCTGGGGTTTGTAAATGTGTGTCGGAAATCTTTCAAGTCTAAGATTTGAAATTTTGGAATCTTTAAAGTCTTCAGCGTATTGTTTTTAACAAAACAGTCCTTTTAATTATCAAGAGTATTTCAAGTTTTCCCTTAATTCTTTGAAGTCTTAAAAGATTTTGAAATCTTCAAAGTTCTAGTTTTCAGCCTCTTTAAAAGCTATAGTCTTATGATTTTTATCTGTTGCTGGGGTTTGTAAATGTGTGTCAAAAATCTTTCAAGTCCAAGATTTAAACTCTTTGAAATCTTCAAAATCTTTAATATTTAGCATATTGTTCTAGCAATCATCAAGAGTCTTTGAAGTTTTCCCTAAATTCTTCGAAGTCTTCAGAAATTTTGAAATATTCAAAGTTCCAGTTTTCAGAATCTCTAAAATCTATAGTCTTGTAATTTTTATATGTGCCTAGAAGTGTGTGTCAAAAATCTTTGAAGTCTAAGATTTGAACTCCTTGGAATCTTAAAGTATTTAGTATTCAGCGTATTGTTTTCAACAAAACAGTCTTTTTAATCATCAAAGAGTCTTGGTTTTCCCTAAATTCTTTGAAGTCTTTAGAAATTATTCGTAACTTTAGTTGTGAATTTCATATCAACTTTCAACTTGTTTTGTATCATGAAGAAACCTCAGTTAACAAATCCGGAAAATTTCAGGTTGCTAGGATGGCTGAAAGTAGTTTTCAGGAAACTTCAAAGGTGATTTCACAGGAATTTTATGATATTTTCAGGTATCAATAAGTGAAAACATTCGTAATTTAGTTGTGAGTTTTATATCAAATGCTAACTTGTTTTGTATCATGAAGCAACTTCATTTAACAAATTCTGAAAGTTTCAAGTTGTTGGTATGGCTGAATGTATTTTTCAGGAACCTTCAAAAATGATTTTAGAGGAATTTTATGATTTTCTCAGGCATCAGTGAGTAACTTTAGTTGGGAGTTTCATATCAACTACCAACTTGTTTTGTATCATGAAGCACCTTCATTCAACGAATTCTGGAAGTTTCAAGTTGCTGGGATGGCTGATAGTAGTTTTCAGGAACCGTCAAAGGTGATTTTAAAGGAATTTTATGATTTTTTCAGGTATCAATGAGTAAAAAAATTGCAACTTCAGTTGTGCGTTTCATATTAACTTCCAACTTGTTTTGTATCATGAAGAAACTTCATTTAACAAATCCTGAAAGTTTCAAGTTCCTGGGATGGCTGAAAATATTTTTCAGGGCGATTTTACAGGAATTTTATGCTTTTCTTAGGTATCAATAAGTAAAAAAAAATCGTAACTTTAATTGTGAGTTTCATATTAAGTTCCATTTGCTTTGTATCACAAAGAAACTTCATTTAACAAATCCTAGAAGCTTCAAGTTGCTGGTATCGCTGAAAGTATTTTTCAGGAAACTTCAAAGGTGATTTTACAAGAATTTGATGATTTTCTCAAGTATCAATCAGTAAAAAAATTCGTAACTTCAGTTGTGAGTTTCATATCAACTGCCATTTTGTTTTGTATCATAAGCAACTTCATTCAACAAATCGTGAAAGTTTCAAGTAGCTAAGATGCCTGAAAGTATTTTTCAGGAACCTTCAAAGGTGATTTTACAGGAATTTTATGATCAAGCAGTAAAAAAATTCGTAACTTTAGCAGTGAGTTTTATATCAACTTCCAACTTATTTTGCATCATGTTCATTTAACTAATCCTGAAAGTTTCAAGTTGCTGGGATGGCTGAAAGTATTTTTCAGGAACCTTCAAAGATGATTTTACAGGAATTTTATGATTTTCTCAGGTATCAATCAGTAGAACAAATTGTAACTTTAGTTGTGATTTTTATAATAATTTGCAGCTTGTTTTTTATCATGCAAAAACTTTATTTAACAAATCCTGAAAGTTTCAAGCTGCTGGGATGGCTAAAAGTATTTTTCAGGAATTTTCAAAGGTGATTTTACAAGAATTTTATCTTTCAACTTGCTTTGTGTCATGAATAAAATTTATTTAACAAATCCTGAATGTTTCAAGTTACTGGAATGGCTGAAGGTATTTTTCAGGAACCTTCAATATTGATTTTACAAGAATTTTATGATTTTCTCAGGTAGGTATCAATGAGTGAAAAAATTCGTAACTTTAATTATCAGTTTCATATTAACTTCCAACTTGGTTTGTATCATGAAGAAACTTAAGTTAACAAATCCTTAAAATTTCAAGTTGCTGGGATGGCTGAAAGTATTTTTCGGGAACCTTCAAAGATGATTTTACAGGAATTTTATGTTTTTCTCAGGTATCCATGAGTAAAAAAACCGTAACTTTAGTTGTGCGTTTCATATCAACTTCCCAGTTATTTTGTATTATGAAGAAACTTCATTTAACAAATCCTGAAAGTTTCAAGTTGGTGGGATGGCTGAAAGTATTTTTCAGGAACCTTCAAAGATGATTTTACAGAAAATTTATGATTTTCTCAGGTATCAATCAATAGAAAAAATCGTAACTTTAGTTGTGAGTTTCATATTACCTTACAACTTGCTTTGTATCATGAAGAAACTCCATTTAACAAATCCTGGAAGTTTCAATTTGCTAGAATGGCTGGAAGTAGTTTTCAGGGGCCTTCAAAGGTGATTTCAAAGATATCAATCAGTAAAAAAGTTCGTAACTTTAGTTGTGAGTTTCATATTTACTTCCAACTTGTTTTCTATCATGAAGAAACTTCATTCAACAAATCCTGGAAGTTTCAAGCTGCTGGGATAGTTGAAAGTATTTTTCAGGAACCTTCAAATGTGATTTTACAGAAATTTTATGATTTTCTCAGGCATCAATGAGTGAAAAAATTCGTCACTTTAGTTGTGGGCTCAATATCAACTTTCAACTTGCTTTATATCATGAAGAAACTTCATTTAACAAATCCTGAAAGTTTCAAGTTGCTGGCATGGCTGAAAGTATATTCAAAGGTGACTTTACAGGAATTTTATGATTTTCTCAAGTATCATCAATTAGTAAAAAAATTCGTAACCTTAGTTGTGAGTTTCATATTAACTCCCAACTTGTTTTGTGACATAAAGAAACTTCATTTTACAAATCCTGAAAGTTTCAAGTTGCTGAGTTTAGTGAAAGTATTTTTCAGGCATTTTCAAAGGTAATTTTACAGGAATTTTATGATTTTTTCAGGTATCCATGAGTAGAAAAATTCGTAACTTTAGTCGTGAGTTGCATATCAACTGTCAATTTGTCATGAAGTTCCAGTTTTCAGCCTCTTTGAAATCTAGTAATTTTCATCTGTTGCTGAGGTTTGTATGTGTGTTAAAATAATTACTTAAATTACATGGGTAATCTGAAAACCATTGAATATACAGGGTGGATCAAATGGGGAAAAAGTTGCGCAATCAAGTGCCTACAAATAATCTCTTCTCAACTTTTCTGAACTCGGAGTAGCAACGGATATACTTACAGGGCAAAAAAGAAAAAAGTGCGTTTTATAGAATCCTTGTTTAATATGAAAGATACAATCAAAAAGTTCAAAGAAGTTGATGACAGATTAATTGTAGGCACTTGATTTGGTCCACCCTGTATCTTCAATCGTTTCTGAAATCTCCATGTACTTCAAGTTATTTCGGACACCCTGTATATTCACTAGAGGTTTGTCTATGAAAGAAGTTGGTTTGGTTTGGTTTATAAGTCGTTCTGAAGCCTGGAATTTTTCAATCCCTATTTCCAAGGCTTTGTTGAAAAACGAAACAAAACTCAGCATCTGAGGCGTATTTTAACTATTAGTTCGAGGTACTCGAAGCTTCTGTTTATAATTCCTGAGAATTTAAAGTCGTTCTGAACCATTGAATATTTTTGAAAAACTACCAAAGGTTCAGCTTCCAATCAACAGTTGAAAAAATGATCATCACTCAGCTTCTGAGACAAAAATTAACTAGCGATTTATGGCGCTTTATAAAGGAAGCTCTACTCTA